CCCGAGACTCACATTTAAAACTGACTCCACACCGTGGGAACAGGACTCTTTCTCGACTAAGACTAACAGCTGTGTTGGGCCTAAGATTTCCACCTGAGATAGCCAGGGCTTAAACACAAACACAAACAAAGGTTTTGCATTCTGGCTGACAACACTGCTGAACAGAAGATAGCTGTCAGGGGTTGAAGGTGTGTTGGGCAGGAGCAGGTGCTTTGGAGATGGGTCCAGGTGAGCCATTGGAGGCTGGACTCTGGCGTGTTCATTTGTATTTGTGGTTCCTCTCCATGCCTCTAATAATTTTATTTATTTTTCCCCCAAAACCCCAATAGATAGTTGTATGTCATAGCTGCACATTCTTCTAGTTGCTGTATGTGGGACGCGGGCTCAGCATGGCCGGAGAAACGGTGCGTCGTTCCGCGCCCGGGATCCGAACCCGGGCCGCCAGCAGCGGAGCGGGCGCACTTAACCGCTAAGCCCCCGGGGCCGGCCCCCCTCCATGCCTCTAAAGGAGTCGACCCTATGTTTCTTAGGCTGACACAGAGATCCTGCCGTGTGGACGTCAGGCACAAAGGCATGTCCTGGCTGTCCGCCCGCGGTCACCCTTAGGGTCCAGCTCCAGCAGGAGGGATGCCCCCAGGACACTGGCAGCGCGGGGACGCTGACAGCAGGCCTGTGGGCAGTTCCAGCCCGAGGATGAGTCTCCCGAGGGGCTGCGAGTCAGCGCGTCTAGGGTTGGCTGGAATGCCGACAGCCCTGAAGACCTCAACCCGCCGCCAGGCCGGGGGTAGGAGGCTACAGAGGGGCGCCTGACCCTCCGTCCCCCTGGCCCCACCCTGTGCCCCTTCCGTCTGCCCCGTCCCGCCTGCGCCCCCTCCATCTCCCCTCCCGACCCTCCGTCTCCCCTGCGCTCCGGCCCTCTTTCCGCCCCTCCGTCACCTCTGTGCCCACCCCGCGGCGGCAGCGAGGCCCGGCCCAACCCGGGCAGCACTCACAAAACTCCACCAGGAGGTACTTGTGGGCCGCCAGCGCCTCCTCGAAGTTGCCCTTGTGGAGCACCAGGACGTGGTCCTCCTCCTCGGGGGCCCCGGCGCCCGCGCGGGACAGGGCAGCCAGGGCCAAACAGAGTAGAGCGCGGCGCAGCATGTCGGCAGCGGGTGCAGCACTCCAGTTGGCGCCGCCGGACAGCAAGGCCACGAGAGCGCGCGCCGCCCGCCCCGCCCTTATAAACACGGCCGCCGCGCGCGCGCCCGCCAGCGCCCGCCCGGGATTGGTCAGCGCGCTCCGGGGCTCGCCTCCGCCGCGCTCGGATTGGATACCCACACTGGCCCCCGCCCCAGATTCGGAATCTCTACGGAGGCCTCCCTCGCCGTCGCCCAGGATTGGCCGAGTAGCTCGCGCTCGCAGTCTTCCTCAGCCTCTCATTGGCTCCCGACGGAGAACTTTCTCTCTCTCGACTTGTGACTGGTGGTTTTCCCCCACACCTTCCGCGGGTCTGGAATGGCTGCCACCTTCAGAGGCCCGGGCTCTGCGGCTCCTGATTGGCCAAGAGACGCGTCCTCTCCGCGCGATCCTCCGTCGAACGTGGCAGTGGGGCGGAGTCCCCAGCCGAGGGGCGGAGCTGCGCCTGCGCCACCGAAACCCCTCGTGTTGCATTCTGACTGGACCGCGTATCCGTAACTGGCACCGCCCCCCCCCCGACTCCGCGGTCCGGAAGCTGGGCTGACGCAACTTCCGGCGCGCGTGTTGCTCGTGCGGCGGTTGCTCGGGGGGCTGGGCTGGGGCGCGGGTTGCGGGCCGCGGTGGGGGCTGGTCGGGCCCGGGCGCAGAGGCAGCGCGCGGAGGGGCGACCGAGGCCGGACGCGATGGGACCGGGAAGGCCCGGAAGGAGGGCCACCGGAGTTGGGCCCGGGAACCGAGAGCCCCAGCGAAGGCGGAAGGAGAGGGGGTTGGGCCGTCACACCTGAAGGTCCAGAAACGAGGTGGACGCTGCGCTGGGGCTGAGCGGGCCGCGGAGGAGCCCTCGGGGTCCGCCGGGTGAAAGGCTCTAGGGCGACATGTACCCTGCGGTGTCTCGCTCTGTCCCACTGTGCCACACCCCGCGGAGCTGTCCCTTTTGGTGCGTGTCCGGCGCTCGGCCTCCGGCCCCACGCCGCTCCTTCCCACTCGCGCTGTCTGCAGACCGCGCCTCCAACACATTTGTCGCTAGCTGCCACTGAGGCTACTGGGCACTTGAAATCTGGCCCGACTGAGACGGGCTGTGGGTGCAACGCACACCAGACTTCAAGACTGAGTTCAGGAAAAAGAGTGTACGATGTTCTCTTAATGGTTTTTGTTATATTGACTTGTTGGAATGATATTTTGTATATATTGGTTTAATTAAAGATATTTAAATTAATTTCGCTTGTTTCTTTTTGAACTTTTTTTTTTAACGTGGCTTCTGGAAAATTTAAAATAATATACGTAGCTCGAATTTTATTCTTGTTCGGCGCTGCTGCAGATGGATGAGCTCTCCCTTTCCCTGACTGCTTGGACCCTTCCACCACCTCTGGCTGCCCTGGCCACCCCGACACTTCCAACACTTTTCTTCTCCAGGAGCATCTCATCTTCATTTGTTCACTTCCTTGTTACAAAACACCAGCACCACTGATTTTAAGACTCATCATCAATTTAATAACTTGGCAGGAAAAGGGGAAAGACTCCCACGTTAAATGTACACGTTGGCTCTAACAACATCCTGATTTCAGAAACGGTCAAACAGAAGAAAGATGCTTTCGTGCTTTTGAGAGTTTGCATTTGTTGATACATTGCTCTTGAGGGCGTGTTTTCTCACCTCTCCTATGGGGGACTCCCTCAACCCAAATACGAATTCTGCAAGATCAAGACCAGGTTCTCTGGGCCGGCCCCGTGGCTTAGCAGTTAAGTGCGTGCGCTCCGATGCTGGCAGCCCGGCTCGCACCGACGCACCACTTCTCCGGCCATGCTGAGGCTGCGTCCCACATACAGCAACTAGAAGGATGTGCAACTATGACATACAACTATCTACTGGGGCTTTGGGGGAAAAATAAATAAAAATTAAAAAAAAAAAAAAGACCAGGTTCTCTGTGCCCCTCCCCCAGTGCCAGTAGAGCAAGGGTCAGGCAGAGGTGGTTGTACCTGCTGGGATACTTGCACAGGGGTGACTTTACAGGAGCTGGAACTTTTGGCATAGAAAGGCTATGAACATGTACCTTGACAGGCGCCAGTCTCCACCCCAGCTCAGCGTGGCCCTGGCCTGGGAGCTTGCCCACTGAACAACAGCTCTTCCTAATCTGCTAATTGTGGCCACGGTCCCCTCTGCTCTCTGGGGACCGGTGGGGATTGCCACATGCCTGCTGCCCTATCTACAAACGTTTTTGTGATTGCCATGACCCTGTTTTACCACAATTTGGGGCCTGAGACATGGGACATTTGTATCCCGTCTAGATTTCAGAGGCGCTCAAGAAGTTAGAGTTTAGATGCCTAAATACTGGGGCTTGGGCCGGCCCCGTGGCTTAGCGGTTAAGTGCGAGCGCTCTGTTGCTGGCAGCCCAGGGTTCGGATCCCGGGCGCGCACTGATGCACCACTTCTCCGGCCATGCTGAGGCCGCGTCCCACATACAGCAACTAGAAGGCTGTGCAACTATGACATACAACTATCTACTGGGGCTTTGGGGAAAAAAATAAATAAATAAATTTAAAAAATAAAAATAAATACTGGGGCTTGAGTCTTTCTGGTTGATGGGGAGAGAGTGCAGGGATTTGAGATAACCACAATGTTGATTGGTTTGTGACAGTTTGTAGGCAGCTTAGCCCCACGCATACAGTAAAGGATTTACAAAAGATGAGAACATTGGGCCCAAGAGGAGGCCAGACATGGACAAAGACCCAAGCTGTGGCTGTGGTTGAGCCTCATTCTGGCTGAGTGTGGGCCTGCATAGCTGAAGCCAAGGGCAGTTGGAACACACCTTGATGCAGGTGATGACAGGGCTGCTGTTCTGCAGCCCAGGTGGCCACAGCCAAGTCAATGTTCTGTGAAATCCAGGGCCTAACCAGGACTCTGGCCTGGACAGGACAAAGTATTTTGACACCTTGGCAGCATTGATGTGCATTCTCCTCTCTGCCTGCCTTGAACTGGCCTCATGCACCGACCCGTGCAGGAGCAGCCAAGCAGGGTTCTCAAAAAGCTGGAGGGAAGCCTGGTTTGGATATGGACTGAGATCCCTGGGCTCTATGGGGTTGGTCAGCAGCTGGGTGAGGTGCAGGGGTGCAGTCAGCCACTCAGAACACAAGCTGGGTTCACTAAACACCTGCAGGCCTCAGCTCTGAGGGGAGGGCCAGCATCTGGCTCCTTTTTCCAGAGGCCCACTTGCATGCCTTCCAAGAGCACCTCTGGGGAAAGGCGATGGGGCCATGTTCACCCATGTGCCCCAGGCCATGAGCTGGAGTGCGCCCTTGGAGGTCAGGGCTTGCCTGTCCTTGTGGCTGTTCTCTGGCATCTTTCTGTGTCCTTTTTTTTTGTGAGGAAGATTGGCCCTGAGCTAACATCCACTGCCAATCTTCCTCTCTTTGCTTGAGGAATAGTGGCCCTGAACTAATATCTGTGGCAGTCTCCCTCTATTTTGTATGTGGGACGCCTCCACAGCATAGCTTGATGAGTGGTGTAGGTCTGTGCCCGGGGTCTGAACCTGTGAACCCCAGGCTGCCAAAGCAGAGCACACCGAACTTAACCACTACACCACTGGGCTGGTCCGCTCTGGCATCTCTCTGGACCAGCACAGCTGCTTCAGGATGTCCTCCAGGGGTCTCTCAACACTCGGAGAAGGTGCCCATTAAATACAGGTTCAACTACTGAGTGATCAAATGTTTTGATAAATACTACTCTCAAAAATAGAGTTCTCAGACTAAAACAACTCCCTCTTAACCTGTGATGGAGTTGGAGGTATAGCGGGAGCTAACAGCAGGCTTGAGGACTCAGAAAGTGCTCACTCAGCCACTGAGGGTCAGCTCCTGACTGCAGGTTCCCACTGCCGAGCAGCAGCAGGGGACAGAGGGCTGTGCCATGGGCCATGCAGCCCTCACATGGGAGAGCTGGGGCATAGGTAAGAGGGAGACCTGGAGGCAGGCACAGAGGTGAGCCTGGCGCCGGCGCACCGCAGGGCCTTGACTGTAGAGAGGGGCTGTGTTGGGCATGAGAAGACTCTTGTCAGTCACAGTAACTGGTGATTAGTGGGTCACATCAAAGGCCCTGAGCTGGAATCTACTGGCACTCTCCTCAGTGGAAGAAGGGTCCATCTGGGGGAGGCTGAGGAGGTGGAAGCTTGAGGAATACTGGAGGCCATGGACAGAGGGCAGCGTGTGGCTCACTGGGGTGGGGAGGCCAGGCCTGGGAACAGCAGGCTGTACAGACGGGTTTGGGGTGGGACCAGGAGGATCAGGTTAGACTTGGGCCCCAAGAGACACATCATGCTGGTCTGAAGGTGCCACCTCACGTTCTCCTTCACCAGGGGAGGAGTCAGAACAAAGTCCTGGCTGCTGGCAGTGTGCCTAGACAACGCAGCGCTCAGGGTCTGAGTTCACAAGTCTAACTAAAGCTGGGCAAAGTCAAGAGCAAAAATAGGAGGGCTTTTGGCCAGAAGGAGCCTAAGAAGGACCTTGCCCAATAAACCGAAGTGCTGACAGCACAGGCTGACCCTGGGTTTGAACCTTTTAGGAAGTGAATTGGGAGAGCTGAAGTGGCTGTGGCCAGACCCAGGTCTGCTATGGGTCAGCTGAGATGGTAGCTGCTGCCTGGGGACCTTACTCCTCTGGAGATAGGGAGGTGTTTTGGGGATAGCCACATCTGAGTTTAGTGTGAAAGGCCTTGGGCCTCAGAGCCCAGAGCTATGCAATCTCATCGCCTCCCCCTTTCTGAGCCTGTCCCCCTTGGCTTGGGGCAGCCTGGTTCTGGGAGAGGCTGGTTAGGGTCTTTGCCCCCTGTAGAATCAAAAGCTGGGGGCTGCAAGTGCTTCCTGCGGCTGCTCTTGGATCTACATCTGGGCCAGGTGCTGCAGGAAATGCATTTGGTCATGTCATCTAGCATAGTGCCCAGCCTCCAGGATCCCACAGGGTCCCTGGTAAGGAGGGCCAAGGAGGTGACAAGCCCTGTGGGAGCTGTCTTGGCACAAGCATGTGGTCACTGACGTGGGAGGCGACAGGGCATCTCCCCGTCCACCCCAGCTAGTGATAAGCTCCTGGCACGGCGACTCACCCTGCTGTTAAGCACTGGGAAGAGTGGCAGGCCCTGGAGGTACCGCCAGGGGAGGGCTCTAGGACATCAGTCTCCAGCCCCACTGCCTAAGTGTGACACATAACCACTTTTCTAACCGGCTCAGACCAGAGAGAGCAGGTTTTGCAACTGGTGTCACTCCAGAGAAGTGGGAGTTTCTAAAACTGACCCTCTGGAGCTTGGGTTACCCATCTGCCCTTTCCCAGCCCAGGGCTGGGGAGGGGCTGTCACAGTCACTGGGTGCCCTTGGGTGTGGTGCTCAGAGAGACGGTAGCACCATCCTTGCCACCCCCAGGTCCTCTAGAGAGCCTGTGGGTCAGCGGGACTAGCTGAAAAGTGCGCGGGGCCTCTGGCAGCCTTTCAGGGCTCCCCTGGCCACTCTTGTGCACCTCCACCCAGCGAAGGTCCTCAGTATCCTCTCGTCCACACCACCTCGCCTATTCCACCTTTGGACCCCTGACCCCGCCCAGTCCTAGCAGGCACTGGGGTTTAGCTAGGCTTCCACGCCGCCGGCTCGGTCAACCATGCAAACCATGCAGCCGCCGGACCGACTTCCCCTCCACCCTTCCGCCCCAGCAGCGGGCTCGCCCACGCACTCCGCGGTTGGGGCCAGCGGGGTCCGTCTTCCCAAGGGCGCCTCCCCCACCCCGTGGACCAACAGCTTGGAGTCGATGTCTCTGGGATTCCTGGGGACCTAGTTGTCCCATTTGTTCCTAGGTACTGCTTCTTGCGGAGCTCGGGAGGCCCCAGCGAGGTTCTTCTTTGGGGTTAGGGCGTTTCCTCCGCGAAGCCGGATGGAGGCTGCGCGCGGGGCTCGGGGGCCCGCGCGAACGCCAGCGGGCACGCCCCACCCTCCCCCTGCAGTGCTCTGCGCGCCTGCGGCACTTCGGGCAGGCTCCACGTCTGCACCGCTCAGGCGGCAGCGCTGGCCAGGCGGGCAGGCCGAGTGAGGCTGGTGTGACCGAGAAACGGCTTTAAATCCATACTCCTTCAACAGCCGCAGGGGCAGTGGCCACGCACCTGGCTGTTGGCCGTCCTGGGGGCGCCCCTTCTTCCTTGCTGCCCGCCCAGCCCCCCACCCGGAGACAAGCAGCCAACACCCTGGCTCCTTCGGAGTAATTTATTTCCCGGTCAGAAAAGGAGAAGCAGGGACAGGCACCTGTGCATTGTAGGCCGGGGCCGGACCGGGGAGGGGAGGGGTAGAGAGGCACAGGGGACAGCTCCGACTGTGCACGCTTGGTCCCACAGTTGTCCTGGCTGGGTCCAGGAAGGCCTGCCAGGGATGGTGGCACCTAGCCTGGGGGCAGAGGCAGCAGGCCAGCGGGCCCAGAGGACAGCACATATTGAGGCAATAAATACTGACAGGCCAGGCACAGGATTTCAGGCCAGCGGGCCCAGGTGGAACAAGTAAGGCTCAGCTGCTGGCTTTGTCCACCAAGAGCTCTCTGTTGGGGCTATGAGCTCTGGGCACTGCCCACTGGGAAAGGGAAGGCAGAAGTGTGAGGACATCTGGCCTCCCTGATGGGACTGGAGGCAACTTGAGTTTTGGCAATTGGCCTTCCCCAAGTGCCTGGGGCAGCCCCCATGCCCCTGGCAGGGGGGAGGGGGAGGGGCAGGCTGGCCAGGCCCTGGCAGGCAGGGGAGCAGCAGCAGCACATCCCACACGCCTCCCCGGGCCACGGGGACTGCGGACAGGGCAGAAACTGGGGGAGACCACATGCTCATGCAAACAGGGGAGTTAGAGGTTAGTGATGGCCCCCACAGCACACGTTCCACATGTTAAGGCATCATGGTTAGACGGTTACTGACGGCAATGGATGAACTGACTGGGAGAGATGGAAGCTGGGGGATGACTGGCCCCACAAGGCCCTGCGTTGTGCACCCACCCGCACCCCAGATGGGGTGGGTCAGAACAAGAGTCAGGGCAACTGCCAAGGACCAGGGGAACCTGAGCACCCCACGAGAGCCCGCTGGATGTCCCACTCCCTTGGAAAAGTCAGGGCCTCAGGTCAGGTTAGCACAGGTTGGGAAACCTGGAGAAATACAGAAAAGGAGGCAGAGGCCTGGGCTGGAGCCTCCCTTCCCCACAGCACAGGCGGAAGCAGCAACAACACGAGACCACTAGACCACCGAGGAGGCTGGGGCCTGCGGGCTGGGGAGGGTTGGGAGGGAAAGGCTGGAGGAGCTCTGGCTGGGCCCGACCAGGAGGCAGACAAGGTGGGAATGATGGCAGCGTGGCCAAGGGCCCTGTCAGCACTTTGGTATGGGGTCAGGAAGGGGGTGTGGGGTGGTAGGGGTGGGGTGCGTACGTCCGTCCGTCTGTCCATCCTGCCTGCCTCCGGGGCCCAGGACTCAGTCCTTCCACTCTTTTTTAATGGTGAGGTTCCACTCCCAGGACAGGTGATCAGTCTTGTCATCATCTGTGAAACGCGACTTGATGTTGTAGCTGCCTCGAGCCAGCATGCCCTTGGGCGCCTCCTCCATGGGAGTCAGGAACTCGTACTCCTCTGCCCGGGGCCCGTAGCTCCCCACCATGTAGTCAGTCTTGTCAACTGTAATGCAGAGAATGCACTGGTCATCAGTGTGGCTCACCTCTGCCCGGGCAGCTGCCAGGGAGCAGAGCTGGGCCGAGGGCACACACTGCCTTTCCTGTCTCCCTCCTGATCCCTGAGCCCTTTGCCCTGAGCCAGCCAAGAGGCAGCCATCTCTCTCCTGGAGGCTGGGGTCTGGTGCCCACCCTCACTCACTCTTGACGCCTTTCCTGTATGTGTGCTGGATGTACTTCATGCCGGACACAATCTCTCGGTTCACCTGCAGGGAGGGACCCCAGGCAAGGCTCAGCCGGGCTCTCCAGCCCTGGCCCCTCCCGGCCCCTGCCGCAGCCTCTGCCTTACCCGGAAAGAGATTTTTATCCGGTATTCCACACCTTCCTTCAGCACAAATGACTGCTTCTTGAAGCTCTCCAGATCACCTGTATTTGGGAGGAACACCACACTAGGGGGCTCAGCCAGCAGAAGCCACTCACTTCGGCATCTCCCATCTGTGACTGCCCGCTGCCATCTGGGCCCTGGTGGGATGCCCCTTCTACTCCCCGTCTCCCCTGCCCCTGCACACATAGCCCTTGGCACCCCCAACCTAGGACCCAGATCACTCCAAAACCAGCAACTTCAAAGACCGCTTGGCTGCACTTCTTGTGCTCCCCACGAGAGGGTGGCAGAGCTCCAGGAAACTATATTTAGAGAAAGCAGGAGTGGGGGTGCCAGGCAGCCCCAGCCAGAGACCTCAAAGGTGCCACTCACCTGTCAGGTCAAGCTCCAGGGGGCCCGGGGCGGTGCTACACACCAGGGTCAGGCGGGTCACGACTACATTGGGGACGTTGGGGTCTGTGGAGTGACAGCAGGTTAGTGCTCCACCCCCTGGGCCTCCCACACACCCATAACTTGCCACCAGGGGGCAGCAGCAGCAGAAACCCAGAAGAGTGACAGGTATCCCTCTGCGTGACCCCAACCCACTCACCAGCAGACACAGCCACGCGGCCCAGCAGGGCCTCCTTGTACTTGCGCAGACTCTCATCGTCCTTGTCCAGCTCCTGAATCTCCTGGATGCTCTTCTGGGCTGGGGGCTTGTAGTTGACCGAGTGCTCGTCTTCCTCGTTCTCAGCTGCAATCTGTGCCAGCTGCTCTGCTGTGGGCTCCTGCTCGGCCATGCTCACCTCTCGCTGGGTCTGGGACACCTGTGGGCCAGGCGGGCTGTGGCAGCCTGGAGGGACCCACAATGTCTCCCCCCTCCCGCCCCTCAGCGGGCCCTGCAGCCAGCTCAGGCGGGCTGTGTCGAAGGCTGCTCCACAGGTGGCCAGGCCCCGTATCTCGGCCCAAAGAGAGGTGCACCTTCTAGAGCAGGAGGGCAGGCTGCAGCCAGAACCCAGACACAAGCTCCTGAACCCAGCGGGGCTATACTTGCCTCCTCGCCCTGCCCATCTCAGGGGACCCACTGGGGCAGTCTGGGGACCCCAGCCTAGGTACAGTACCCAGGACTAAATGGAACCCGCAGCCTGCTCCTCTGGGAGACCAGGCACACCTCTGCCGCCCCCAAGGAAGAGGCAGGACCTCAGCCCTGCCGGCAGACCCCCAACTGTCACCTCTGAAGTCCTGCTGTTCTTTCTGAGCTGCTCAGGCCCTCGCCCCACGGGACTCCTCCCACTGGGTCAGGGAGCCAGGTCTCCCTGACCAGGCATGCTCCTTCTGCCCTGTCCTAGCCAGGAAGCAAGGCCTCTGTGCAGGACACAGGTCAGTTCTGCCTCATCCTGCAAACACAGGGCTCTCCTACAGCTCAGATGATGAGGCCAGCCTGACTCCCACATGTAGGTCCCAAAAGGGCACAGGGGATCCTAAGTGTCTGCCAACGTTCTCTCCAATCGTGAGAATCTGTGACCTACAATTTGGGAACTGCTGCAGCAGCTCCAGTATTTTCAAGACCCTTTTTCTGGATCCTGGCCCAGGAGAGTCTGGAGCAGCACTCTCAGAGCGGGGAGCACTGCATGAGGCAGCCGCTGGGCTTCCTTCAGCTAAAAATCCCATTGCAAGCCCAGAGACTTCCTGAGGAGTGTCTGGAACCCACTCAGATAGGTCCGGGTGGTGTAGGAGATGGGTCAAGGCCCAGCCCACCCCAGGCCTCAGATTGCCCAGGAAAGATTACCAAAGCCTTTCCCCACAGGCCCAGGCTGGCAGCTGGGACTCGCCCGAGGACCAGATCTCACAAAGGGCCGCAGGGATCCCCAAGCCGCCGGCCTCCGCAGGCGGGGTGGGGCCTGCCCGCTTTCCCAGGCCTCCCTGCCGCTTCCTCTGGAATTCCTCTACAAGGCTCACGCCCTAATGTCACTAAGTGCGGCCGCAGGCGACAGGATCCTCTAGGGCGATCGCCGCGGCCGCACTTCCGCAGGGCCCCGCAATCTGGGCCGGGAGCGGCGCGGGGTGGGGCGCGGTGCCCCGGAGAAGGGGACGTCAGCCTAGCTCCGGTCGGCGCACGCCGGCGGGGAGGGGCCGCGGGGTACGGGCGGCGGCCACAAAGGAGGCCTAAGGCCCCGGCCC